GTGGAAAAAAGCTGCTTTGCTGTTTCGATTCGTGTGACCCGAAATGGACATTATATTTCAATATACATTATAATGTTACTAAAATATACGTAGTTTTCTAATGTTTGGTTCTGTTATCTGATATCGTTCATGATATCCAAAGAAGAAAGATATCTGAAGAGATGTAAATGTAAAAACAGCAGTGATAATGTTAAAATTAAAATGGCAACAATTAACTGTCGCAGACACTTTGATAGAAATCAATTTTTCACTTGAAATGGTAATTGGTAATTATCTAGATAACGTTGGAAATATGTTGAATATTTTTCGTGCATATGATAAGAGATTCAAGTATACAAAACGAAAAAAAAACAGATAATTTGTAAATAATATTTATCGCACAAATAATAATATGCTCCCATTACATAAACTGATATTGAATTCAAGCTGTTGTTTGCAAGAAACAAATTGTTCCCTAACATTGCGAAAACTTTTAGTGTGCAGCACCATATTTGATAGTTGTCACGTGGACAAGACGTTGCTTCTTTCTCAGCAATTCACAAGCAACTGCAGCCCAAGTGCTTATTCCTTCCGTCGATTTCGATATTAGAAGTTTCTTTTTTCTTTTTTCAACGAACGTGTCATTTCCGTGGATAACCTCGCGCCCTCTTATCGAAAGCGAGCTCCTCCATTATTACGCGATCTTGTCCAACGACTTGGTTGCATCGTCTCGTCGCGATACGAGCGTGTACACATGTTTTGATGATTGCCTGTAACAAATTAAATCACTCTTCCCAGTCGATCCAGTTTTTATAATGGTGGATCCACATTGGCCTTTCGCGAATCGAAGCACCGTCGTATCCGTCGTGTCAGCTTGAGAACAGAATACTTGAGAGCAAAAGTTTCGTCACGGATAAGATGTTCGATGTACACACTAAGTGCAAAGATCAGCGTCGTCGATCATTCGTACTGACGATTCTTTCGTTCTCTCTTTTTTCCTTTCTTTGATTCTCTTTCAATTGAGCGACCGTCTACCACGTCGATGAGCGCACGATCCGTAGACGACGAATGACGCGCGTAGAATCGCGGTCGATAAATACGTATCTGCTGCCTGATGACGCAGCGCGCACAGTCAACGAAAGGTAATGCTTTGAAACGCGGATAGACGATTCGAAGGGGGGAAAGAAAGTCTCCTACTGCGCGTCTCGTGCAGTCGTGCTTTATGCCCCGCGACCTCAGGATTCCCGATTTTTCGCTTTAATTCGCGCGGGCACGCGGCCACTCGCGCTCGTCCAAAGAGCAGTCCAAAGAGAGACCCAACGGAGGAAAACAGAGGAAGAAGCTATAAAAAGCCGGAAGACAAAGATGAGGGCACTAGTCAACGTCAGCTTTTGTGTCGCAATAGTCGTCGCAGCGATGTCGTGCAGGTTAGTCGATCGATTTGGCCTTTGCTTTTGTAGCTTAAAGACAGATCAGTCAGATTAAAGAGATACGTGTCGATGATACTCGAACAAACTCCGATTGTGGGATGCTCAAGTCGAGTCCAATGAAATTTCACGCGGAGATAGCTGTACACGTTTCCAGTAATTTCAGCGACAGATGGTCGACCAATTGTGAGGGATATTTAAAGTATTTCAAGAAAATCGTACGTTGCCAGTGTTTGAATGGGTTGTTCAAAGATAACTATAAAGTGCCGGTATGAATGTCCAAATTTGTTGAAATATTAACATATTGGAATATATGGAGAAAATTTAAAAACTAATCAGTCTAACAAGGAAGTCATCTTTCATAGGCAAACACACTTTCGGTGCTAAAATCTTGGAACAGTTCAATTACAATAATTACATTACAGTGTCTAAAACGTTCTAATAACAATAATTGCAAGAATGGAGCAAATTATTTTTAACGAGAGACGACTTGCGTCTTCTTGAGTCCTCCTGCGACACGTGTATCTCGTAGAAACATTAGCAGTTTCGCAATTTCATTAGCACCTAAGAAACAAATTACGATGATTATATCGAGAAAGTTGCACCAGTCTTTGGCGCAACAATACGATATACACAGGATCGAAATTCGATAAGCGTCAACGCGGTATTAGTTTCATTCGATTAGTCGAAATGTATATATTTAGCAGAGGCAACTTTCTCCGGCGCTTTCTTCGCCGCGTGCACACGCTGCAACGGGCGGACACATAATTTTCGAAGTAACGCGCATTTCAACTGATAACAGATCTAACGGGCAAGTGTTGGGCGGGACGGATTGGCTCAGAGGTCTCAACGAGAACATCGAAGCTCTGAACAGAAACATTCAGCAGAATGTACAGCAACTGAACCAACGGATACACGAAACGGTGCAAGAAAACTTGGCGCATGTTCACCGAATGACAGAAAATCTGAACGAGGAACTAGGTGACGTACAATATCATTTAAATTAAATCCACGCCCGTTGGAAGGAAATCTCAGTTAGTTAGATGAATTAAATGTTGACAACTCTTAGCGATTGACATCATTTACCTGAATGTCAACGGAACGAAAAGAAAATCTTCGACTTACTATATGTTCATATGAACTCTATTTATGGTAGGAAATATAGTTACGGAAAGTGTTACACTGTGTTACAAAACGTTTTGAAATTTCCTTTCGAGCCACGTATTTAAATAAAT